AAATAAAATAAAATAAAATAAAATAAAATAAAATAAAATAAAATAAAATAAAATAAAATAAAATAAAATAAAATAAAATAAAATAAAATAAAATAAAATAAAATAAAATAAAATAAAATAAAATAAAATAAAATAAAATAAAATAAAATAAAATAAAATAAAATAAAATAAAATAAAAATAAAAATAAAAAAAATAAAATAAAATAAAATAAAATAAAATAAAATAAAACAAAACAAAACAAAACAAAACAAAACAAAACAAAACAAAACAAAACAAAACAAAACAAAACAAAACAAAACAAAACAAAACAAAATAAAATAAAATAAAATAAAATAAAATAAAATAAAATAAAATAAAATAAAATAAAATAAAATAAAATAAAATAAAATAAAATGGAGAAGGAGTGAATATATCCCTGAGTTAGGATGTTTTTAACTGGACTGTAATTTTCTAGGCTGGTCGGAATTGGTCTGATTTCGCCTGGTAAATGTCTGGTCTCTATGTATTTTATTGTTATTCAAGTCTGATCTATGTATTATATAGTGAGACGGTCGAATCGCGTTTCCAACCCCAGCCTTTTGTAGGGCTTTTTCCAGGGTTTTCAAATTTTACGGCTTTGGACTTTTCGGGTTCGGACCAGGCCTAAACACTGGTTTTCAGGTAAACACGGTTTTGATCCCTTTAACAGTTTGATACTTAGTTGTACCGTCCGGTCCAATTCGGTTCTTAAAACATATCTACTATAAATTTTATAGTCACTACGATGTAACATTTGAATATATTTATAGTTATTAAAGTTACTAGAGTCACATTTTTGTTCACTCCTTTTATTTTGATTGCATATTTAGAATTATTCTTCGATAAAAACAGTAGCAAAAAAATGCTCCTAAGAATAACTGAATAAGCAATAAAAGCATATCAAAGTTATGCAACAAACAATAAATTTTTTAAAAAGTAAAAAATAATCAATATAGTATGGAAGGAAAGTGTGTGAATTTTTGTAAAACAAATTAAAAATAAATAAAATAACCTAAAACTTGAAATAAGAATTTCGTAATAACTATATCACCAGAAATTAATTTTGTAGTGCATAATAAAACTTAATTTTATAATATTAGAAATCCAAATACTAAATGGATCCACTCACTGGTTGTTGATTAATCTTGAAACAGGTACAAGGTACCAGGTCTGGACCTCTGGTGTGCACGAGTGCAAGGTCTCTCACTATTGGACTGACTAAGTCACCGTGCAACCTCCCAAATGCCATGTCGGAGCGTGAGACTTTTGGGGTTGGGGATTCAACCTTTTGGAACATTGATTAATCTTGAAACAGCAAAATAAGAACATACTCTGCTCCATACATGGTGATATTATGAAAACCCTAGGTGAGAGGCGAACTGTGGCGTTGCGCCTCTAGCCTCTCGCACTCCAACCTGTTGCGTTGCCACGGTCTGCCTGCCTCCAAGAGTCCAACCGCCGTCCAGCCTCCAGATTCATGTAAAGCTGAAAGAGCACGGACAATGCATCCAACCAGGTAGCGAATTCCATGACTTGGTCTAGGTTGTGGAGATGCTTGATAAGGGTATGACCCAACTGCACTACTCTTGTTTTCTGGTTGTGTTTGTTCTGTGTTTTACTGGCTATTTTCCGGGCACTGGCGCTCTGGATTGTTTTGTAACCCTCAATGTGGGGAGTTGTTTTTGTGTCCCAACCACCTTTGTATAGTCAGGGGTTTCCGACCGCTTTCTTTTGGACTGCGTAGATAATGGTAGATCTCACCCACCATCATAACCACCTTCGTGTCAAGAAAAGTTTTGTACACAGACTTGATTTCAATTTCATTTTTCCTTCAATAGTACTTACTTTTATTTTACTTCGAGTAGGTTTGGTTTAGATATTTGGATTTCTTGATAGACAGTGTTTCAGTTCTGATTTTTTTAGACTTAAATTTGCCCGTTTTGTGTCTAGCGAATGAAGTTGCTTTGTATGAGTTGAATGATTCTATGTCTATTTCTAAGGCTTATGATCGACTCTGGCATAACTATATAGAGATTGTTTTGTATGATTTCTTGACAATAATATAAAAAGCCACACTTTAATTTTATATTAAAGAAAAAACTAAATAATAACAATGAAATTTTGACTATTAATGCTCAATGGAACACCTCTCTCTCGAAACCCTATATATAGGCTGATGGCGGCGTGTCATGCAACTTGCCTCTTCTCTTCTGATTCAACAATGGCAAAGACGACATGAAGCATACATGCGGCCAGGGTTTCAACACCATCTTAGATTCTCAGGGCTGCGACAAATATCAGGTTACAGATTCTTGATAGAGTATGATCCAACTAGACTGTTTTGCTTTTCTGATTGTGTTTGTTTTGTGCTATGGCGGTTCTTTCCAGACACTACTGGCGCTCCGGGTTGTTGTGTCTCCCTCGGTGTGGAGAGTTATTTTGGTTTCTCGGCCATCTTTGTCTGGTCAGGGAATTGTATTTGCCTTCTTTTGTGGCACGTTGGAAATGATAGAGCTCGTCTTCCTCCAGAACCACCTCTGTGCCACGTAGAGTTTGGTGGAAAGGCTTTATTTCAATTTTACTTTTCCTTTAGTAGTACTTATTTTTATTTTACTTCGAGTAGGTTTGGTTTGGATATTTGAATTTCTAAAGTACTTTTGATAGGCAGTATTTTAGTTCTAATTGTGTTAAGCTTACATTTGTCCGTTTTGTGTCTAGCGAATCAAGTTGTTTTTTATGATGTGACTGTATCTATGTCTATTCTTAGGGCTTATATGACCGGCTCTGCCATAACTAGTTTAGAGGAAGTTTTGTATGGTTTCTTGATGTTATTATTATTATTATTATTATTTTTATCATCAAAACAAACCGCTTATATTAATATCATTAGGAATCAGATCGTTACAACAAACTAAAAAAGACCAACCTTGACAATAACTATCCATAACCAACTAACACTATCAACCCTACAACTAGACTCAGAGACGATCACCCCAAAAGAGCAATACGAATCGCTAACCATTAAACGGGTGTGACACTGCCATCACTGGTCATATAGGTCCTTCTAATGACATAATATCTAGCAGAATTGTCAATCATAATAGTAAACCTAAAACTAAAGAAATCAACAAAAAACAAAGCAACACAAAACATAACACAAAAATAAAACCATAAAAAATAAATAACTGATAAATCTTCCAAACCCTAGCTGATCTGTCTTCTAGGGTGGTGGACTGCTGATCTGTCTTCTTCCTTACTCAGCCCTTCACCTCTCTCTGTCTTCTCATAGCCGTTCTACCGTTGATTCGCTAGAAACTAACCCCTCGACCTCCTCCTCATGTGTAGAAATGAGACAACACTGCTCTAGATCATTCAAAGAACACATGATTATCGTTTCTTGAGCCTTGGATTCAACTGCAAAAGCTGGAACCGCACTCACACTTCCTTAAAAAGCACTCTAGAAATCTAGAGAAGAAGAGCTACACAAACAATAGCCGCAAAACCGCTAGGAAGACAAATTCCTACACGACGCTAAGCCGCTAGGGAGAAACGTAACGATCAGAGAACATCCTCAACGCACTAGCTGGTTCCAATTTTCCAACCTCCGTATTCCTACCGATTTAGGGTTAGGAGAACAAATGTCATTTATGCATAAAGAGAATTCTTACTTCACGACTTCACGTTTCTTGATGTTATTATAAAAAGCCACTCTATTATTTAAAAAAATGCTCAATGGAACAATTACAATTCAGTTAAGTTGTTGCATTGTTTTTGGAGGTCCGATTTGGATAATGCTCAATGGAACAACTACAATTCAGTTAAGTTGTTGCGTGGTTTTTGAAGGGTCCGATTTATTTTTGGTTAGGTTAGTTTTTTTTGGCAAAGTTAGGTTCATTTTTTCGTTTCACTTTTTTGTTTCTCAAGTAGACTCTTAATTGAGCTCCGCCTCCAGGATGGTATGTGATGGTTCAATTGCTATACGTTGACATCTAAGGTTTATTTTTCAAAAGACATGCTTCTACACCAATATATGGCGTCAATGGGATGGAAGGGCGGTCATGGCCTTGTGAGGTGGAGTTTTGAAAAGTGGACATCGAGAAGCAACTCCTAAATTTATATACCTGATAAGGTTCCCTAAGTAATTGGTCACAAAAAAAAAAGATAAGGTTCCCTAAGTATGACTGTATGAGTATTTAATTGAAACTTCGAAAATAGAATTTCCTTGTTTCACTAATAATGGTACAAGATGGAGTACACACATATCAATAAAAGTGAGTTTATGTGATTGATATTGAACTCATAAAATAAAAATGATTTAGAGTTATGCAAATGTTACTTAATTCGGCATGAAATAATCTTAGTAGAACAGGTCAAAAGGAAAAATTTGGACAATCCGAAAGAGATGGAGGGAGTATAAAAATCTACTAGTATTTCATGCGGAGACCGGAGTAGTTGTCTTGCGGAGTACTCCGTATTATTTTGGTTACATCTAGTAGTATAAAAATCCACTAGTATTTTGATTACATCTACTAGGAAAATTGGGACAATTTTAGGGGATGAAGGAGAGTATAAAAATCAACTACTACCTCCGTCCCATTTTATGTGTCTCATTTGGTTTTCGCACAATTTTTAAGAAATTTGTTGAAAATTTAAAAGTTATGATTGAGATTTGAGTATAATGAAGTAAAATTTTGTGAACCACATATTTTTTTTCAAAAATAAAAAGTGACACTTATTTTGAAACAACTCAAAAAAAGAAAGTAAATGAGATAAAATGAGTTGGAGGGACTACTATTTTATACTAGTGGAGGGAGTTTACATGTTTTACGCTGCTTTCGGCAGGGCGGCATCTTTTAACCAATGGCGACCAATGCTTTTGAAGAAAGAAAGAAACAAATGTAGGTGTTAGTGTCCTCCGTACTTTCTATAGCCAATAACAGCAGGACGTGTGCTGGGAATTGATTTTTGTTACATGAACGGCTGAACACGAAGACAAGGCCTTTCTGTCTGTGTCCAACCATGTACGACAGCAATTTGTGAACTTTTATATTCTAAATTTCCTCCATGCAGTGTATTGAACGGCTGTGATAAAATAATGATAAATAACTAACAAATACTCCGTATTCGACAACAGCACATCACTTCCTTAATTCCTCAATCACAGGACCTGAATTTGAAGTTCGGATTCCAAATAATGAATTTAGCCCTCTAAAATGAGAAGGAATACAAAATTTAACAAACAAATACAAATATACAAATATATTATACTCCCTCCGACCTCCGTCCCTCAATACTTTGTCATGGTTGACCGACACGAGAACTAATAAAGTAAAAATTGTGTGGTTGAGATATGTGCAGAGGAGAGAAAAATAACAACCACAAATTCATTGATTAAAGGGAAAAGGTGCAAATAGGCCCATGTACTAACAAAAAAAGGTCAAATAAGACCTTATTTAGGAGGCTCTGTCCGGCCTTCGCCATTTGGAGTGGTTCCCGGTGGAATTTTTTGATGAAATTTTTTGAGCATCTTATTCATTAAGTCTAGTTTACTCATACCAAATTTCAGCTAAAACTTCAATCCGGAAGGCATTCAAATGAATTCTTGAAAATAACTGCGTAGTTAGAAGCGCAGTTATCTTCAAGAATTCATTTGAATGCCTTCCCGATTGAAGTTTTAGCTGAAATTTGGTATGAGCAAACTAGACTTGATGAATACGGTGCTCAAAAAATTTCATCAAAAAATTCCACCGGGAACCACCCCAAATGACGACGGCCGGACAGAACTTCCTAAATAAGGGCTTATTTGACCTTTTTTGGTTAGTACATTGGCCTATTTGCACATTTTCCCTTGATTAAAAGGCCCATCTAGTGACCATCTGATTATTATGGTGACAATGGAGAAAGAGATGAGGGCTAGGCATAGAGCTAATATCAAATTTGGAAATATCTGGCTGAAAGAAGCTAAGAGAGAATGTAGAGATCTTATTATTCGATCCCGGTGGAGTTCTGAGAACTTATCCATTTGGCAGAGATTGGAGATGTGTGGACATGATTTAAGTGTGTGGAGAAAATATAGATCCTTGGGCTTTCATAGCAGCATTGAGGTTTGCAATGCTAGATTAAATCAACTCTGGAGTGAGGGAAACAATTCTGACATAGGCAAGTGCATGCGGACGAAGGCCACTTTACTTGATCTATTACATAGACAAAATAAATTTTGCCAGCAAAGAGAAAAAGAGTTCTAGCTCAAAGAAGGGGACAAGAATTCTAGGTTATCCCAAAATGCAGTGAAATAGCGTCGAAGGAAAAATTATATAAAAAACCTGAAACGGGGTAATAGGGAATGAAAGGTGAACATAGAGAGAATGAGCACTATAATTGAATTCCATTTTACGGAGATCTTCTCATCGAATGATGTATGCATCGATCATCTTGAATTGTTTGGAGTCGATCATCGAATGAGCACTACTGGGATATTTTGGGTGGTGATATTGTGGCTTTCGATGGGGATTTTCCCTAGGGAGGTAAACCGCACTAATTTAAACTTAATCCCTAAAAAAGATAAACCTGCTTCTTTAGGTGATTGAAGACCTATTTCCCTTTGCAATGTTGTGTATATACGTTTATTTCTAAAATCCTGGCTAACCATATGAAAGGCTTTCTAAAAGGACTAATTCCAAAAAACCAGTGTGCCTTTGTCCCAGGTAGGTTTATTGCGGATAATATAATGGTGGTGTTTGAGTCGCTACATTTTTTTTAAAAAAAATAGGAGAAATGGAAAAGAAGGGTATGTTGCGCTCAAGCTAGAAATAAGTAAAGCCTATGATAGGGCAGAGTGATCTCATCTTATAACGGGTTAGAACTTATTATGAACTATGATTAAAAAAAATTGGTTCAGTTAATTGGATAATGCATAGGTTGTGTGGAGTATTTTATCCCTTTTGATAGGAGCGTTGTTGGGCCCAAGGCCGTCTTTTAGGAGGTGCAATAGGTGCTTCGCACCGGGGCCCACGTTTATAGAGGGCCTCCAAATATTTAGTATGTGTCATACATGTATTAGTTATAGGTTGCGTTTTCTATCTATTGTGTATTAGTTCATATTCTAAAACGTGTGTTATGTCACAACAAAGACTCAATGGTTTGACAATGATATCAAATTGTGAATGAAGCTCTCTACAAGATAGAGTATAAAGATTTAAGTGATGGTTTTGCTTCGAAAACTGCTAGGAGGACAATCATATTCATGTGGATTTTCATCAGCGATGTAATATTACTTTAAGATTGTTTAATTTGTGTATTTTAAACATTATAAAACTTATAATTTATTTAACTATATAGTCTTTTTGTATTTCATTATTAAATTTGTTATTCTTTATCGTTTCAGAGGGCCTCAATTCGCCATTTGTAACCGGGGCCTCCAAATTCATTAGACGGCCCTGGTTGGGCCTATAATGCTATCTGAAGAATGCCATTGATACCAACTGAGTTCCTAGTGAGGTAAAAGTCTAGGAGGGGGGGGGGGGATAGACTTTTAAATCTTTTTGGTTTTCAACCCCTTTACCTCTTTCAATGATTCCTTACAATGAACGAACACTTGCTTTTGTAAAATAAATTTATACTCCGTAAGAAATTTATAATGTGATTAAAATTTCTTATAAATTTACTTTTTATCCAATTGTTATTTTGACTGCAAGTTGGTCTTTTTGTCTAAGTGTTTTGTGCCAAGAGAAGAGAGAATTGGATTTCGAATGCCTTGACTGAATTTCCAGATTTCAGCTGGCAGCCAAGTTGGGAGCTGACTGCCAAAATCTGGGTTTTGCAGTAGGCTTCCTAACAATGTATATCAGTTAACTCTTTTTGTACCTTTTTCTTTTCGATCTTTTTCTTCTTGTTTTATGGTACGTTTAACTTCTCTTTTTAGTACTCTTTGCTTTTTATGAGTACTTTACCACTAAATATGAAGCACATTACAAATAAACAAAGTAGAACATAAGTAGTAGACTAGTCTAATACAAGGATAAAGGGGTTGGGCATCATCAAAACTACTTCATCAAAATCAGGGACCTAACACTATCCAAGGGTATCAGACGGGGGACCCTCTGTCACCATATCTCTTTATCCTTGTGGTGGAGGATTTGAGTGCTCTACTCAAGCGACAGGAAGCTATGTGCAATATTATGGGTATTCCGATGGCACCTGGAGCTTCCATAGTTTCACATCTATTCTTTGTTGATGATAGTTACCTGTTTTTAAGGCCTAGGTGAGCGTGAAAAGAGAAAATGATGACTCGATTCTCATCGGAATATTCCCCAAGTAATCAAATACAAGATTTATCCAAATTACATTAATTAAAGTCATTAAGGCATTTTCACAAACACATTACAAGCAATAAAGTTCACTATTTATTACACAACATTTCAATCAGATCCAAACAACCCCTAACCCATCTAACTACTCATGCATTGGAAATAAAATAAAAAAGGTAACATTAAAGTGCATAAATAAAGTTGAACACTAATACTTTGAATTTAACACTAATGCAGTGGAAAAATATCACCTGAATAGAAAAGAAATTATTCATTGAAGTGAAAAAAGAAAGCTTGAATCTTGGAGAACATCTTTCTACAGATCTACACTAAAATTTAGAGAGATAAATGTAAAAACTCTTACTAAAATGTAAAAACTATTGTAAGTGGGTCTCCTCTAGGGAGACGGTCCTCTGCCGCATGGCAGAGTGCCTTGCGCAAATCCGACAATAAGAAGGACACGAGCAACATTTGGGACGAGGGAAGAATAATTTGATCCGACGACCTAATCTTGACAGGCACCCTACCTGGCGGCAAAGCCAGAGAGGGAATCTATTGTACTAATATAATAGATTGTGAACAGAATGGTAATATTTACACAGTAAAATTTGGAGTTGGAGAATGACCACTAAAGGTAGAAGGTCTGGAGAAAGGGAGAATAATTTTGTTCACCCCATCAAAAGAGGATGAACATCACCTCCACCGCATTGGACTGCCACATGGCATGACAATTATTATAAATTTTGCAATTTTTATAATTGTTTCAATTTTGGTTCATTTTTTCCAAAAAAAATATATTAATATTTTTAATTTTTTTATGATCTTTCATATTATACAAATATTACATATGTAAAATTAAAAAAAATCCTAATAAAAATGGGCTTAAGGATGACCGGATGGGAGTGGAGGGTTGACTAGTGGAGAGTCATATTTTGACTAGACAATTTGGATTGACTAGTCAACCCTAGTTTGACCCGGGATTGACTCTTATGATTTTAGCCTTCCGTGCTTGTCTCGGGATGCTAAATGTCGTCTGAAATCTCATAAAAACAATAAAAACGTTAGTAGCACCCGTTAACAAAACAAAATCGAGAATTGAAAGTATTAAAGCGCATAAATCATAAATAAACCTGGAATTCAATAAAATATGAGATTAAATGAGTGATTAACATACGGAAAATTTGAGAGTTTATCAAACACATATATATCTAATTAAAGTATGAATATTTCATGAAAAATGTTACTTTGTACATACTTCCTTTGTCTCAAGTAATTGACTCTTTTGGATCAACCAGACTCATTTATTTACCAACTTTGGATATGAATTCTTAATTTAATTTTGAATTGAGTTTTGCAACTTCAAAGAGGCTGTAATGTAATTTCTGAATAAGTAAATTTTAATTGTTAAAATTGAGTTAATTATTAATAGGGAAGATTTAACTTTAACATTGTTGACAAAGAATATTGACTTTACAAAATAATTAGAAATTGGAGTAGTATATAATTTGAAAACTTTGGTTGTCCTGTCAATGTGTATTGAGCTATACTGTGGTGTACATGTCGGCAAGAGTGAATAACATTTCTTTTTGATTTGATGTGTTGAAACCTCGACCATGTAACCAACAATTTTGTGAATTAAAGATCGATAGAGCAACATATCTGACAAGAACCGACAAATGCCAAATTGACAAAATGTAATTATAATAATGCAGAAATGTCAAAGAAAAAATATTAGAGAACCGACAATTTAATTATTTTAAAAGTCCTAGATAACGAAATGAAATTGACTCAACTACTGAAATGTTCAATACCAATTTTAAAGTCAATTTCTCCAAAAGCAGTTTTCTTTTGACTCTATAGTGTATTCTCTTTTTAAAAAATAAACTAATTAAATATCACTCACTAAGAATAATGAATTGAACTTATTAATTTTTCATGTCAATAAGGAGTATTAAAAAGTTCAATGAATTGAACTAATTAATTTTTCAGACTAATATTCAAATGCCAAATGAATTAAACCAATCTCAAACCAATACTCTAAAGCACAATGAATTGAAGTAATTAATTTTTCAGATCAATATTCAAAAACCCAATGAATTGACCTAATTAATATTTCAAATCAATATTCAAAAGTTCAATGTATAAAATTGATGAAGATCAAATGTAAATGGATATGTTTGAAAGAATAATTTTCTACTCTTCTTCATGTGTGGAATAAAGAAATGTCGGAAAGAAAATTGAAAGTTTTAAAAAGAAAAATCAGTGTTGCACTAAAAGAAGAAGGGCCTGGGGTTAAAACTCCAGACCTTAGGATAGACTAGACGCTGCATTCACTTCCATCAGGCCAAGATGACAAGTACGTAGTATCAAATATTTGACTTTAGCTAGTATTACCCCATATCTACGAAACCAAGCATTCCAGCTCAACTGGTTGTGAGGTTATCGTGCCTAGTGGGAGGTCTTGAGTTCGTATCCCCCTAGGTACACAAGGGTTGGAAACTCATTGGATTGAGTTTCAGCCTTGATTACTCCAGGCTCCCCCAGCCCCCTCCCCCAGATCCCCCTGGAGTAAAAAAAAACATAATATACGAGTATGTATTAGTAAGTTTTTTTTTGAGTGTGGGTCTAGGCCCTCCCTGGACCTAGCCTAGATCCGCCCCTACATATAACCATTTTACGTTCCTAGCGTTTTCAATTCCAATGATAATGATGTAGATGAGATAAATGATGACACAATATGATAAGGTGAAGATGGAAGCTAATGAAGAAAGAATATGAATAAGATGAAAATGGTGAAGATGTGTTTATATTATTTATTATTGCGTCGTATGTATTTTCTATTTTCACGGTATTATTACAATATAAATACAATTACACGTAGTACAATTTATACGGGTATTAAAATTCAATTGTTTTTCAGGGTAAAAAACACTCCCTCCGTTCTTTTTTAAATGCAACATTGGACTTTTTCCACTATTCACGCGTTCTACTTTGATTCTATTTTATTTATTAATGTATTATAAATTAAATTTAAAAAAAAATATTGTTAAATTCTTCTCATTTCAAATTTTCAAAATCTATTTTTTTTAATTTTTTACTAATAAGGCATGGAAGATATTAACGGTCAAACTTGTGCGTTGGCAAACGTGAAAAGTGGACCGTTGCATTTAAAAAAGAACGAAGGAAGTATTTTGTAATAATAACATCAATAACTGATTCGTCCTTATTAATTCCTTATACGAGTAAAGCAGCATCACTCATCCACGTAAGAATAGTATGAGTGTATGACGGCCCATTCGTTATTAATCTGTTATAGTGGTAATAAGGGAATGGGGATTTACCTAAATGGGAGTAATTAAATTCTAAACTGTCAAAATAGGACTAAAGTTAAAAAAACCCCTAAATAGGAGTTATTATTTAAATCTGGACAATAATACCCTCAAAGACAAAATACTCTCAGCGATACATAGCCTGACCAGCCGCCTCCAACCGCCGCCGGCCACCTCCGATCGTCGCCGCCGCCGCAGTCCCAAATCTAGCAGCCGCTGCAGATCTGATAGTCGTTGCCATAGATTTGGCCGTCGTCTCCCTAGATTGGGCCAGATCTGGCCTTCGCAGACTGCCGTACGCCTCCCCTGCGGGTCCAGCAGCCGCCGCCGCAGATCCGGCCACTGCTATTGCAGATCTGACGGACGCCATTGTTGATGCCAACTTTTTGACCAAAATGCCAACATGAAATTAAAATGCCATTTTAATGGAATTTTCAAAGAAAAATATGAAAATTTTAAAGAATAAGAATGCCATTTTAATGGCATTTTCAAAACAAATGGCAATTGTAACAACCAAATAGCGTTTATTCGAACCATTGGTATCCTCCCAGAAGCCAAGTAAACCACGGCAGATATCAACCATCATTGACCAACACAAAGCAATTAAAAACCCAAATGAGGAAGAAGAAGAAGCAAAGAGAAAATACAGATGCAGATCGAAGGTAAAGAAGAGAAAAGAAACGGAGGAAGAGGTAGATCTAACGCACGCTGCCGCTCCTCGCCGTCGCACGCCGTCGAACGCCGTCGCCTCTCGCCGGGGCTTGCTGCCGTTCCTCGCCACCACCACTCGCCGTTGAAGCTAGCCTCTATTGCGCACAAAGTTGCGGCTTGGTTATGAGCGTGCAAATAAAATCAGAGGAGTACAATCTTACGGAGCTTATGAGCTGCAAATGGGTTGAAATAGGGGTAAAATTGGAAGAATGGTCCTATTTTGGGAATAAAATTATATTACTTCTATTTAGGAATTTTAGTAATAATTTAGTCCTATTTGGGGCTATTTCCCCTAAGGGAATCGGAGCCTTATTATATCCTGATATAAGGAAATTTTAATAAGGGATTTTATAAGGACTCATTCCCTTATACGATAAAAAAAGGACTCATTCCCTTATTAGTTACTCCGTATGAGGGATGTATAACGTATGTCTCCTTATTCCAAGATTTTCATTGGCTTAGTGACGTTTCCGGTGTAATTTTTTGATTAAATTTTTTAAGCATCTTATTCATCAAGTCTAGTTTACTCATACCAAATTTCAGCTACAACTTCAATCGGGAAGACATTCAAATGAATTCTTGAAATGATGAATATGATGTGGTAAAGATGGAAGAAAGAAAAAAGAAGGGGAGAGCCGGAGAGGGGAATGGGAGAACGGTATGGATGGAGAGAAAAAGAGAGGAGAGAGGGAAGCATTAATATGTGATAAATTTTGATGATTACATAAGATGTACACATAAGATGTTAATTTTTTAAAGCAGAAGCAGGAGCAGAATCAGTTTTCAGAAGCTGTTTTTTCCCAGTTACTAAAAAACACATTTTAGGAGTAAATTAGGGTACCAGAAATACTTCTGCACTTCCACCCAAACATTCCAACTTCTGCTTCTGCTCCCTGAAGGAGCAGAAACAATTTTAAGAATAAGATCCAAACACCCCAAGCATATATGTTGAAGAATCGAGGGAAAGAAGTGAAAAGGTTGATAAAATAAGAGGAATGTACGGGGCCCTACGATAATGAAAGAATATGTTCAACTTCTCTGCCACCTCGCTATATAGAAGTAGGGTGGGCACTGGGCATTTAGTCGAGCCAAACCAGTACTGACTGGTCCAAAATGGTAACGAAACGACTAAAGGTTGGTTTGCAACTGCTTCTAAAAAAGCACTTTTCAGCTTTTGGCTTTAAAAAAGCACTTATTTTTCCAAACACTACAACTTTTATTTTTCTCGGCTTCCGCGTCAAAAGTGCTTTTACCTTTTCTATTACACAAAAAGCACTTATTTTACCAAACACTACCCACTTTTACTTTTCAAAATCACTTTTTTCTCAAACATTATCAACTTTTATTTAATCACTTCTCTCCATTTCATTAAAAAAAGCACTTTTTTAAAAGCAGAAGCTGTTGCAAACAGACCCTAAGAGGTAGTTCAGCGGTTCTATAATTTCTTTACCCCAAATTGAAATTGTACGGTTTGAAGCGGGTACATTCTTAATTTTGGGAACTAAATAATACTGAACTAGACCGTTTCAAATTAATATATTTGAGATTTTATATTTTTTCCCAACTCAATAAATCTTGTTCGGGCCAACACTTATAACCAGGGACGTAGCCAGGACACTGGGCTAGACTGGGCCGGTACAAAGAATATTATCGGAAAAAAAATTACACAAAATTTTTTACACTAAAAATATTGACATTTTTCAAATTTGGGGTGGGCCAGGGCCTAGCCTGGGCACCCCCTAGCTCCGCCCCTGCTTATAACCAATTCCATGCCTGCCCCGGTCCAAAACTCCTGCCCACTGCCCATAACTTGTGCGAGAGAGGGAAGAGACTAAGGTTTAATGGAGTCATATGAAATAAGGATGTTTTACTCGGATTGTTATTCAGTCCGAGACCAGACTAGACCAGACCAGATTAGTTCCGATCAGACCAGACGTGGATAATTATAAAATACACAGAGACCACACATTTACCAGACCAAACTTGATCAAGTTCAGACTAGACCAAATCATATAATATTAGACCAGACCATACCAAACCAGCAAATTTTAGTCAAGTACAAACAACCTAAGAATGCAAAAACCCTTCCCTCAATCGATGCCCACAGTATTCCACGAAGTGAGTATGCTGTTTTTTATTTATCATTTGAACTAGATGATACTTGGTATGATGGTATCAATTAAATACAAATTGTTGGTATGATGGTATCAATTAAATACAAATTGTTAGTTTTTTTAAAAATAATTTTAGCATTGCTTTGACATTGGACCGTATTGTTTAGAATCGTTTCGAATTGACATAGTACCGAATGGTTCTAATTTTAGAATCAAATTGTACCGAAGTGTTTGAAACTTAATGAGTACATTATGGGTTTTGGTAATGGGGTAATTTGAATTTGCACCCCATATTATTGTTCAAATTGGACTTTGCACCCCGTTTTTAAAAGTCTTTGTTTTTGCACCCCAACCCCGTATGAAAAGACAAAAATGCCTCTCCATTAACAATTTTGTTGGCCTTCAATATATTCTTGATCAAGGCGCATTTTTGGCTTTTGGTATGGGGTTGGGGGTGCAAAAATAATGATTTTTAAAAACGGGGTGCAAAGTGTCACGCCCCGGGCCTATCCGGACACGTCAACAACCCGCCGTACAGTACGAATAGTCAACCGCAGTCCGACTCATCCATACTATACAAGGCGTCTTGAATACCATTCACACATAGTACATCCATAAACAAGCATAATGTAAAATATTCATTTAAACAGCGGAAACATTAATACAAGTGTTTATGCCACACTCGGCAAACATGGGCATACAAGCCCCCGAATGATTATTCAAAAATAATATCCATGAGCATTATTTAGATTGTTTTCAAAACAGAAACGGGAGAAGCACGAACCACGTCTTCTTCCCTTGATCTCCCCGAAGCAACGGGTGGTGGCAGCAACTCTTCAAGTTCTACCTGAAACTGTGAGGTGGCCTCCCCCGTGAAGGGGAGGTCAGTACTTGGAAGCATTTGACAGGTACAATGACAACTATACTAAGTATAATCAATGTTTCAATTTCTTAAGACCCTCAAATAGAGTGATATTATATCGTAGGCCGTAACCCCCGGTTACCCTGTTTTATAAATATACTTACTTTATATAAAGTCAAGTAGTCGGCCCGTGGGCCCATATTCATTTAGAATTTACCATTTTCACTTTCCGTGACCATGAGTCACGACAACCCCATAGGGTTCCCTCGAGTCCCGATTGTATAGCAAGGGCTCGGCCCAACTACATTTCTATACAATCCTTCAACTCAATTTAATATATCTAAATGTGTATGGCAAGGGCTCGGCCCAACTACGTTTCCATACCAACCATAACTTCATGGCAAGGGCTCGGCCCAACTACGTTTCCATGAAGATCACAATGCATGGCAAGGGCTCGGCCCAACTACGTTTCCATGCTGATCACATTACATGGCAAGGGCTCGGCCCAACTACATTTCCATGTAATCCTAGAGTCCGACTCTAATTTATTTTCATAGCTCAATTCTCAAGCAAATCCTATGCCTAGAATCAATTCACTTGGATAGCCTTTAGGCCTACCCCTAACACACCTTAGTGTTCATACAATTCGACCTTAAAGCATCTCTTAAGACTACTTAAGGCATATCTATTCACAATCCTATCTCTTAGGATTAATTCCATCGTTTATTTATATAAATCTCCCGACTAGTATTTCGATACTAGTCGAATAACCTTAGAACAACCAAGTTCTAAATTTATAACCAAATAGTTTATCTCAATTGATTTTTCCAATCCAAATATGATTAAATCCCAATATCAAAAATATCACTTTTATCCTTTCATGAATTTCATACATGAAGTAAAAGTATATTTTATCACAATTTTCATAGTTAATTCCATTACCATACCATTTCTTTCATATCACATAATCATACACAATCTCTTACAAATTTGTATATTATGCTCTTTTCCTTATAGACAATAGTCTTCTCATTCTTAGGCATTATTAATCATTAATAATCCTTAAAAAAACATATTTAATTACCTTAGGTAATCTCATGAAATTAACCCAAAGATTATAAGCAATATAGTCAGCCATCCTCACCTTATAGAGTGCTTGACTAGTTGCCCTTGCGAAGCCTTTCGACCCGTCCTCGTTCTAGGCCGTTCGAAAGTGAAAAACCTGGACAACAGGTGAAAGTCGGGCGGCTTTCGTGAAAGCCGGGCGGCTTTCGTGAAAGCCGGGCGGCTTTCGTAGTCTGCAACTACGAGCAGCTCCTTTGGAGTGGCGGTTTCCGGCGATTTCGACTCCTATCGATTCACCAACTCTTCTAAGTTAATTATCACCACTTTATAACATTATTCTACACTTTTAAACATGTAGAACTTCATGTTTAATCCAACGTATGATTTCTTAAAAATCATACAAAATTAATACTAGCTAAAGAACTATTTGAGTTCTTACCTTCCTCCTAGCTAGTTTTCTCTTGGGATTTCCTTTCCCTTTGCTCCTCCCACGTTCAGACCATGTGAGAGCCTTCTCCCAAAGCTTCTCCCTCTCTTGACTTGGTGCGTATGGTGTAGAATGAAGGGGATGTATCTATCCTCAATCAAACACCAAAAATAATGTAAGGGTGTGGCCAAAGGAGTGATGTTTTGTCTTGTGCAATCCCATCCCCCAATGAGTCCGCCCCTCCCATGTTTAATTGTCTCAAAATCAATATTTTGAGTACACAATACTTGGGGAAAAGTCCCAATTCGGGTATAGGAAGTCTCTCCCAATTATTCTTGTTATTTTTGACAGGTTGGGCCAAACTAGCACTCGGGTTGTCCAAATATTTTTATCAACTTTGGTTGGCACTTTATTGGGCTTCAATTATTATTACAATGACCCGACTAAATATTTGGTAGCCCATTCTCATTATTATGGGCCCGATAAATAATTTAATTAATCTCGCATTAATTAAATATACCCAATCTGCTACACGATTTTATTCGCCAGAAATTCAAATACATATCAAATTTCAAATTCAAGTACATCCGGGTGCGGTGTCACAAGTTCACCCCCCCTTAACGGGAATTTCGTCCCCGAAATTCACAAATGCTTATTCAAACCGAAATGCATACTGTTCCTTCATCAAGGCTTCCGTTTCCCAAGTTTCTTCTTCAACTCGGTCACTCTTCTAAAGAATTTTAACCATCGGAACTTTCTTGCTCCTCAATTTCTTTACTTGCCTATCAAGTATTCTTACTGGTCGTACGGCATAGTTCAAATCCTCACGTATTTCCACGGGTGGTTTCTCTAACACGTGAGACGGATCCGACATGTATTTCTTTAGCATAGACACATGGAACATGTTATGTAGCTTCTCCAATTCCGGAGTCAACTGAAGTCTGTATGCCACGGCCCCAATTCTTTCAAGAATTACAAATGGCCCGATGTAGCGTGGGTTAGTTTTCCTCGGCTTTGGAATCGGATGATTCCCTTCCAAGGTGAAACCTTCGTCAGTTTCTTGACCCTTCTTGATCTCATCAAGTAATGTAGGTCTCACCTCGAATCTAGCTAACAAGGCACCATCACTGGACACCTCTAGTTGGGCTCTTAATGCCCTCAAATTAGCTAGCAATGCCCCAGACGAACTCTTCCGACTGAGCGCATCTGCTACAACGTTGGCTTTACCGGGGTGGTACTCAATGATAAGATGGTAGTCCTTTATCAACTCCATCCATCGCCTCTGCCTCATGTTTAACTCTTTCTAAGTAAGCACATACTTCAAGCTTTTGTGGTCAGTGTATATATGACATGTCTCCCCGTAGAGATAATGTCTCCAAATCTTTAGTGCAAATACCACTGCCCCCAGCTCTAAATCATGAGTAGGATAGTTTACCTCATGCTTCTTCAACTGTCGTGAAGCATAGGCAATTACCCTCCCATTTTGCATTAACACACATCCAAGTCCTTGGATGCTAGCATCACTATAGAATCGTACCCCATTACCTTGTTTGGGTAATGTGAGTACAGGTGCCTCGGTTAATCTCCTCTTTAGTTCCATGAACCCTTTCTCACATTTGTCATCCCATACAAACTTAGCTCCTTTACGAGTGAGCTTCGTCAATGGTGATGCCAAAACAGAGAACTTCTCCACGAACTTTCTGTAGTAGCCTGCCAATCCAAGGAAACTACGAATTTCCTTGACATTCTTTGGCCTCTCCCATTTGGTAATGGCTTCTATCTTCTTGTTATCAACAGCAATTCCCGATCCCGAAACTACATGCCCGAGAAAGCCAATCTCCTTTAGCCAAAATTCACATTTAGAAAATTTGGCATAGAGTTGCTCCTCCCGTAGTGTCTCAAGAACGAGTATCAAGTGCTCCTCATACTCTTCTTCACTCTTTGAGTAAATCAAGATGTCATCTATGAACACAATCACGAATCGGTCCAAGTACTTATGAAATACTCGGTTCATCAGGTCCATGAATGCCGCCGGGGCGTTTGTTAACCCAAACGACATAACAAGGAACTCAAAATGCCCATACCTTGTGCGGAAAGCACTCTTTGGTATGTCATCTTCCTTGATCTTCAATTGATGGTACCCCGACCTCAAGCCAATCTTTGAAAACACAGTTGCTCCTCGGAGTTGATCAAACAAGTCATCAATCCTAGGCAAAGGATACCTATTCTTGATTGTGACCTTGTTCAGTTGGCGATAGTCGATACACATTCGAAGTGTCCCATCTTTCTTTTTCACAAAAAGAACCGGTGCTCCCCACGGGGAGTGGCTGGGTCTAATGAAACCATTATCCAAAAGCTCTTGCAGTTGGGTTTTTAGCTCGTTAAGTTCAGCGGGTGCCATACGGTATGGCGGTATGGAGATTGGTTTGGTGTCGGGCTCGACCTCGATCACAAATTCAATCTCTCTATCGGGTGGGAGTCCCGGTAAGTCTTTTGGAAAGACATCCGGATACTTGCACACCACCTTCACATCATCGATGTTCGTCTCCTCTTTGGTTTTGTCCACCACATACGCCAGATATGCGTGACATCCTTTCCTCATCATATTCCTAGCTCTCACGGCGGATATGATACAACTATTGGATTTTGCCCTATCCCCCTCGAAGCGTAAGGTTACCCCTTCATCGCCTTCGAGTTCAAGTACTTTCGTGTAGCAATCGACCCTAGCATGATGCTTCTCAAGCCAATCCATCCCTAGGATTGCATCGAACTCAATCATACTCAGCGGTACGAGATCACACGACAAGTTTTGGCCCTCCACTTCCACCTCACACGATGGATAGTGGCTATCTCTCTCGATGTCTTCCCCTAGAGGTGTGGATACCAGTAGGGCCTGAGCCATCGGTAAAAGCGGTTCATTGAATCCCTCGGCAAACGCCTCACTCACGAATGATCGTTGCGCCCCGGTGTCAATAAGGATTCTCGCGTCTCTCCCGTTAATCTTGAGTGTTCCTACATTCATAGACAATGTAAGACACCCCTCCCTAATTAACAGACTCACTTCTTGGGTTATAGAGTACACCGGCTACGGTTTAGATGATTGTCGTTTAACGCCTCATCTCAATTCATCCCGGTTCCCACCTTAAAATCAACACCGTGCACCAATAAAGGAAAGCCGGCCGCTTTTTATGAAAGTTGGCCGGTTTTCGTACCTTAGCCATCGGCTCGGAAGGGATGGTTACGCAAGCCGGCCGGTCTTTGCCCAAAGCCGGCCGGGTTTCGTCGCCGAACATTTAATCGGGGAAAATATAACCCAAACCCGGCCGGGCTTTGCAAAAGCCGTCCGGGTTTCAACTGCGTAGCTTTTCTTCAACAAATTCAACGCCGGCCGGTTTTCATGAAAGCCGGCCGGTTTTCGTCGCCGCAGGTTTAATCTATTTATTAAATATGAAAGCCGGTCGGTTGTTACAAATGGCGGCCGCCTTTCCTCAGCGAAGTCAGCAAGCAAAAACCCCTGAACCAAAGCCGGCCGAGATTCGCGAACGTCGGGCGACGTTCGTTGCCGTAGGATTTAGCAATTAATTCGAAGACAGAAGTCGGGCGGCTTCCGCCAATACCGGGCGACTATCGTTGCCGCAGGATCAGCCAAAAATCAAGATCTTATATGCCGGCCGGTTTCCACGAAACTCGGCCGGTTTTTCGTCGCCGAAGGAAATCCTTATTAAATCCGGAAAATTGAAACATGAAAGCCGGACGCGTTTTGTACTTGCCGGGCGACGATCATCAGCGAAGCTGAAACGTTGGAACCTCCTGAACAGAAGCCGGCCGGTTTTGACGATTGTCGGCCGGTGATTGTCGCTGTAGCATTCCGACAATAAACTAACCCCGAAAGACGGGCGGCTTAGACGTATGTCGGGCGGATTTCGCCCAGAACCATGTTGTTTCCCTCGTTTTTGACCCAAACTTGGTCAGGTTTGACCCTGGTTGTATGGGCTTTGATCCTTTCGTGATACCACTACGTTGACTCAACAAAATTAGAGTTTAAAGAGAATTACCCGCAACGGAGTCCAGATTGGCACGAGCGTCGGCTTCCGTCATGGCATAGACCCTAGCTTGGGTCTTCCCTTGGTTCACCGAGGGTGCGTTGCTTGTACTTGGCCCGCCGTGCCCCGTGCTCCCATGAGGTGCTCCTGTCCGGTTCCTACTTGCTGTGGTCCCGCTACTAGGTCCTGCACCCGTGGCTTGCCCGAGTTGTGGGCAACTGCTCCTCAAGTGTCCTGCCTCCCCACATTGGTAACACCGTGGGGGATCACGGCACTTGCCCGAGTGGTTTCTTTTGCAATTGTTGCACCTCATTACGCCCGAGCCCTGCGACCTCGAACCTTGCCCTCCTGGGCCTTGATTTCCCCTAGATGGGGTTGCGGGTGTTCTAAAAGATCCACCTCCCCCGTGGTTCCCCCTTTTGCTAGAACCTTGAGGGCCGGTGCTCTCCCATTTCCTTTTCTTCGCCTCCTCGGCGTTTTTCAGCTTTCTTTCTTCCCATTCTTTTTCTCCCTTCAAGCCTTGCTCCACCACTTGACTAAACGTCATGTTAGGCAACTGTGTTGCCCTCTCACGCACGTCTAAATCCAGAGCATCCCAGAAGTGGTTAACCATTCGGTTCTCATCGCATGCATACTCCGGTATGAACTCGGCAAGCTCCCTGAACTTATGCTCGAGTTGCCTCACGGTATACTTGCCTCCTTGGGCCAAGTTGGTGTATTCCCTCCTCTTCAAGTTCACCTCGAAGTCGGAGTAGTATTGGTTGAAGAATTCCTGCCGGAAGTTCTCCCAAGTGACATTCTCACCGTACTTCCCTTTGACTCCGTCCCACCACGTGGACGCCATTCCCTCTAGCAACCTCGTTGCTACTCTCATCTTCATGTTTGGCGGCAGCTGCATATCAAGAGCCGCTTCATTAAATCTTTTGATCCACTCCGCCGCAACGGAGATATCTCCCATTCCATCGAACGGCTTACACCCCAGATCCCTCGCTTCTTTGAGGTACTTTGAGATCCTTATTATCGGGACCTCGGCACCTCGATCTTCACGGGACTCTACATGTCCCCTAGAACCCACATGGCTTCCTCTTCTTGAAGCCCCTCCCAAAGCACGCCTGGCCCGGCGCCTTTGGCGATCCTGTTGATATTGACGGAGTAGTTCCTCCATCCTTTCTAGAGCGTCATCATCATCGCTCCCCTCATCATCATCATCATCATCATATTCCCCATCATATGGGGTCTCAACCGGCTCTGTTCCCGGTTGATACGTCGAATCCTCCTCGGACTCATAAGACTCATTTACTGTTTCAACATGACCGTCACTCACGGTCTGCGCTTGGCCTCCACGGCCTTGTCCCCTGGACACTCTAGAAGCCCCTCTACTGCCTTGCACGGACCCTCTCGGTGCCTGGCCAGTCGGGTTCCTTCTAGTTACTTTCCCGGTACGTTCCATTTCTGAAAGAAATTGAGAATGAGTTGTTAGACCCGTATCAAATGTCAATTGACGGATAAGTACTTAAGACATCCTTTGGCTCAAGTCGCCGCCATGCCAATTGTTAAGGGTACCATCTTAACAATTAGAGACATTGCAACTCAAGTACCAAAAGTTCTACAAGTACAAAATTTTATGCTCATGGTTTGCAAAATCATTTTCAAAAAGGAATTTTGAGGCTTCATTATGAAGTTTACGGACTAAGGCTCTGATACCAATTAAATTGTCACGCCCCGGGCCTATCCGGACACGTCAACAACCCGCCGTACAGTACGAATAGTCAACCGCAGTCCGACTCATCCATACTATACAAGGCGTCTTGAATACCATTCACACATAGTACATCCATAAACAAGCATAATGTAAAATATTCATTTAAACAGCGGAAACATTAATACAAGTGTTTATGCCACACTCGGCAAACATGGGCATACAAGCCCCCGAATGATTATTCAAAAATAATATCCATGAGCATTATTTAGATTGTTTTCAAAACAGAAACGGGAGAAGCACGAACCACGTCTTCTTCCCTTGATCTCCCCGAAGCAACGGGTGGTGGCAGCAACTCTTCAAGTTCTACCTGAAACTGTGAGGTGGCCTCCCCCGTGAAGGGGAGGTCAGTACTTGGAAGCATTTGACAGGTACAATGACAACTATACTAAGTATAATCAATGTTTCAATTTCTTAAGACCCTCAAATAGAGTGATATTATATCGTAGGCCGTAACCCCCGGTTACCCTGTTTTATAAATATACTTACTTTATATAAAGTCAAGTAGTCGGCCCGTGGGCCCATATTCATTTAGAATTTACCATTTTCACTTTCCGTGACCATGAGTCACGACAACCCCATAGGGTTCCCTCGAGTCCCGATTGTATAGCAAGGGCTCGGCCCAACTACATTTCTATACAATCCTTCAACTCAATTTAATATATCTAAATGTGTATGGCAAGGGCTCGGCCCAACTACGTTTCCATACCAACCATAACTTCATGGCAAGGGCTCGGCCCAACTACGTTTCCATGAAGATCACAATGCATGGCAAGGGCTCGGCCCAACTACGTTTCCATGCTGATCACATTACATGGCAAGGGCTCGGCCCAACTACATTTCCATGTAATCCTAGAGTCCGACTCTAATTTATTTTCATAGCTCAATTCTCAAGCAAATCCTATGCCTAGAATCAATTCACTTGGATAGCCTTTAGGCCTACCCCTAACACACCTTAGTGTTCATACAATTCGACCTTAAAGCATCTCTTAAGACTACTTAAGGCATATCTATTCACAATCCTATCTCTTAGGATTAATTCCATCGTTTATTTATATAAATCTCCCGACTAGTATTTCGATACTAGTCGAATAACCTTAGAACAACCAAGTTCTAAATTTATAACCAAATAGTTTATCTCAATTGATTTTTCCAATCCAAATATGATTAAATCCCAATATCAAAAATATCACTTTTATCCTTTCATGAATTTCATACATGAAGTAAAAGTATATTTTATCACAATTTTCATAGTTAATTCCATTACCATACCATTTCTTTCATATCACATAATCATACACAATCTCTTACAAATTTGTATATTATGCTCTTTTCCTTATAGACAATAGTCTTCTCATTCTTAGGCATTATTAATCATTAATAATCCTTAAAAAAACATATTTAATTACCTTAGGTAATCTCATGAAATTAACCCAAAGATTATAAGCAATATAGTCAGCCATCCTCACCTTATAGAGTGCTTGACTAGTTGCCCTTGCGAAGCCTTTCGACCCGTCCTCGTTCTAGGCCGTTCGAAAGTGAAAAACCTGGACAGCAGGTGAAAGTCGGGCGGCTTTCGTGAAAGCCGGGCGGCTTTCGTAGTCTGCAACTACGAGCAGCTCCTTTGGAGTGGCGGTTTCCGGCGATTTCGACTCCTATCGATTCACCAACTCTTCTAAGTTAATTATCACCACTTTATAACATTATTCTACACTTTTAAACATGTAGAACTTCATGTTTAATCCAACGTATGATTTCTTAAAAATCATACAAAATTAATACTAGCTAAAGAACTATTTGAGTTCTTACCTTCCTCCTAGCTAGTTTTCTCTTGGGATTTCCTTTCCCTTTGCTCCTCCCACGTTCAGACCTTGTGAGAGCCTTCTCCCAAAGCTTCTCCCTCTCTTGACTTGGTGCGTATGGTGTAGAATGAAGGGATGTATCTATCCTCAATCAAACACCAAAAATAATGTAAGGGTGTGGCCAAAGGAGTGATGTTTTGTCTTGTGCAATCCCATCCCCCAATGAGTCCGCCCCTCCCATGTTTAATTGTCTCAAAATCAATATTTTGAGTACACAATACTTGGGGAAAAGTCCCAATTCGGGTATAGGAAGTCTCTCCCAATTATTCTTGTTATTTTTGACAGGTTGGGCCAAACTAGCACTCGGGTTGTCCAAATATTTTTATCAACTTTGGTTGGCACTTTATTGGGCTTCAATTATTATTACAATGACCCGACTAAATATTTGGTAGCCCATTCTCATTATTATGGGCCCGATAAATAATTTAATTAATCTCGCATTAATTAAATATACCCAATCTGCTACACGATTTTATTCGCCAGAAATTCAAATACATATCAAATTTCAAATTCAAGTACATCCGGGTGCGGTGTCACACAAAGTCCAATTTGGACAATAAAATAAGGTGCAAACTCAAATTACCCCTTTGATAATTTCTCGGATCGTTCCGGTCTGCGCAACCCCTATTCCGGTCCGCGTAATATAGGACATTATACGAGCTTCATCTCTTAGGCTTTGTTTGCAACCACTTGTGCTTAAATAAAAGCACTTTTTGGGAAAAAGTGATTAGTAGTGAAAGTTGGTAGTGTTTGGTAAAATAAGTGCTTTTTGTGTAATAGAAAAAGTAGATTCTATACGGAAGCCGAGAAAGTAAAAGTTGGTAGTGTTTGATAAAATAAGTGATTTTTTCTTTAAAAAAAGCCAAAATCACTTTTCTTAAGTGATTGCAAACAAGCCCTTAGTATTTCTACTTGATATTAAGCAGTATGATACTATGATGTATAATTCGGTCATTTAATTTAGTACGGAGTACTTTTTTAATAGACTGAAATTTTTGGATCCCGTCTGGTTTGAATAGGTCTAATTTGGCTTAATTTTAACTGGTCTGGTCTGAACTGTTATGATATAATCTGATCTTGTCTAAGAGTGAAATAAGTCTAATTTTGGTATAAGTGAGTACGTTTTCTATATGAGATTTACTAATTTTGCTAATTGTTATTGTGAAACGGAATTGCAAAGGAAAAAATAGCAGTACTTCGTATTTGATTTCATTATTATCTCGTTATTGTTTCTCTTTTTAAGGCTTAAATATGTTTCCGGTCTTTAATTACAAATATGACATATTTTATTTTGTATCCCTATAAAACACTACTTTGTTTTTCATATCTCTAATATAGTAATATGCACTATTACTTTTATCTATGTTTGACTCTGAAACCACTCTACGGAGAAAAAAAGTTATCGTCGGTTACACAAATATACTACAAACTTTTAAATTAATACTTTTGTAATTCCTGAGACTATTATGAGAGTCAAAACAATGTAAAACTAAATATTCACATTTTTTAAACATGCATTAAAACTCTTTTAACAAATAAAACTAAATACTTTTTTATTAAGGAAAATTCCTAAAATAGGAGTGAAAAAGTTTAAAAATTCGAAAATATGACTGACATGTTTTTATTCTAAAAATAGGAGTAGTTACTGCCAAGGTTAAAAATATTGCCATGTTTGAAGGAGTAATTACAAGGCGGTAATTAGACATATTTTGGGAATAATAACATGATAAAAATTAGAGGAAAATCTGTAATCATAAACATAAGAGATATTACCCAAAATGGGACTAAAAAAGTTTGAAAATTCCAAAATAGGACTTCCATGTTTTTATTCCCAA